CCGGAAGCCCTCCTTCCAGGGAACGACTTTTTATTTTGTTGTTACTAAATAAAAGTAATGCTTCTGTGTTTTAGGTTCATGGTTATACCCCGTTATTGCATAAAAGAAAAATAGTATTAATGTAAAATAATATGATAATTTTGAATGTTTCCAACATTTATAACCTATAAAGTTTTGATAACTTCTTTGTGTATAAGTTAGTGAAATCTCAATGTAAGCTACACACTATATTCAGGCATCTAAATGACATATGGCTCCCCATAAATATGGACAATTTTTAAGTGGAAAAGTTATTATATATATTAAGCAAGCAAATTCTTTAAACAAAGATGGGCAGGTGAGGGGGCTGGGGATTTAGCTCAGCGGCAAAAGCGCCTGCCTGGCAAGCGCAATGTCGTGAGTTCGGTTCCCGGTACCAGAGAAAAACCAAAAAAAAGAAAAAAAAAAAAAAGATGGGCAGGTGAATGGGAATGTGAACAAAAGTGCTATCTTTATGGAGAGGAAAGGAAGGCAGGTAAATAAGATGGCATTAAAGAATGGTTTCAAGGAAGTTGGGTGGAGGAAGTTACAAAGTTATCTACAGGAGCAAGTGTCTGGTAGGAGGAATGAACAGAACATAGGCCCTAAAGAATGTGCTCATTTTATAGATCAAAATTCAAAAGGAAACCAGGGTGGTGACCAGAACAAGCAAGAAGCAGATGAAGGAGGAATCCTGCCTGAGAATCCTGAGTATTAAGGTGGCCACCCTGTAGCTCTGAAATGGTGACTTGCAAGTTATATACATTGCTCAAATTTTCTGTCACTGGGACTAAATACCAGAAAACTGCAGCTTAATGGAGGAAAGATCTAATTTGCCTCACAGCTTCATAAGTCTTATATGATGAGACTCCTTCAAGGCAGTAAATTCATAGTGGAAGTGAGTGGGGGAAAGTGTTGCCAGCATTGGAACTCAAGAAAGAAGCACCAGTGAGAGATATAACTCTCAAAGTGTGTCCCAGTAACACCTCCAAATAGATTCAGACAGCTCATAGAACATTGAGACTTGAACATCAGTGGATCAATGCACTGAAGAGTATAATGTCCTTGAAATTCTATCAACTCTTCAGAAGATGCTACCTGGATAATGTGACATGTAAAATTCACCTGTTCACAGAGGATCCTTTGTCCACATATTATTTGCAGTTCTGTTTTAAACACCTTTTTGTGTATAATTCCCTACAGGTAAAACTGTAATTTGACATCTATAATTGAAAAAGTTCAGAGAAAAGCTCAAATCACTCCATATGTGAAATTTAGCTACATAAACCTCCACACCCAGTTCTCAACTTTTCTATTCTGTAAATTACTGCAAAATCCCTTGGATATGTTCTAAATTTATGGGAAATATTCTATATCACTACTTCATTCACTCTCATCTGATTGGACTTCATTCCAACCACATAATGGTCAGCAATGATCTGTGCATTACAGAATGTAAAAGATACATGTCTTTTAAGGATATTACATAAGTCTCCAATTCAACAGTCAAGGAAACAAACAAGCACAGTTATTCAGCCCTAGGATATGTTTTCTTGTCTCTCAGGTCACCAGTGACTTCAGTTAAAAATTAACCTCCCTTCTTGATGAACCATTAATGCCAAAGGTATAGATGCCTCAGGCTAACACAGATGGCTTCTCTTTGAAGTAGCTTTCTGAGAGGAAGTTTGGCTCTTTCCCAGATCATTGGTGAGTGAAACTAAAGCTCTCTCCAAGACAGGGCAGTAGGAAAGAGTAAAACATTTTTCTTAGCCAGGTTTACAACTCCAAAGGAACCACCACGTCTTGTCCAGCATAAGATTGTGCCCTCTGAGGGACACTTTAGAGAATCCACTTATAGCCAAGAAACTGCTCATCAGATACATTTTAAATGTTAGTACTTCCTCTGAGCACCTGGTTTTCCTGTGGGACACTAGTATGAAGAGAAAGAAAAAATTTCTTGCCCATTGTATGCTCCCCGGTGAGCAGGTTAGAAATTAGGTGAATTTAGTGTTGTTTCTCCATGAGACTTCCTGCCTTACATAAATCTAACAGGATCAGCACTTTTGCCCACAATTTTCTGCAAAGCTTTAAGTATCTCACTTCTTATATGCCTCAGAAATCTAAAAAGCACTGACTTGTAGAGGGGACACTTTCTCGTATGTTCAGGAAACTGCTCTGCCTTTTCATCAAGGGAGGCAACGGTTTTCATTTGTAATAAAACCATGGAATTTACTGC